ATGAAAAAAAATAAGAAAAATAAAATATTTTTTTAAAAAATTAAAAAATAAATATTTAAGCCCGGAAAACAAACTAATGAAAAGATATAATCTCTTCATCAGCTCAATATCAAATCCTTCTAACTGAAAACATTTGTATGTTTATCTACAGACTGTGTTACATTTTTCTCAATGGTGATAATTTTGAAAGCATTGTCTTACAGATTTATCTAGTCGATAGTGTTGACAAACTTTGTTACGAATTTTAAAACATTCTGAGAATAAATACCATTTTTCCTATGCAGAACGCTTCAAGACATGCTATACATTTCTATCCCTTTTTGTTTTTTCTTTAATAGATTTTTTTTTTGAATCGTCGGTCATTTTTAGAACAACCAGTATAAAAAAATATTCCATTTTTAAAGGAGTGGACGAGAAAAAACATCTGAAGGAAAGGCCACAGTCCCGAATTCCGATGAACCAGCAAAATTAAAAGTTCGCTTTGATATATGTAAGTATTACTCATAAAGCGTATTTGGGTATTAAAAAAATAAGTTAGGTTTAAAATAATTTCATTCATATGAACATATTTTTTTAAAGTTTCAAGAAACTTATTTTTTTAAATTTTCTCTTATAAACCTCTGACAATGGTTTTATGAAAGAATTATTAATTTCACCCTGAAAGTTAATTAAGGTAATTCATGTCTAAAGTTCTCAGATGAAAGTTTATCGCATTTTTCACGAAAAGACTGTACTTTGGAAAGACTTAATTGAGACAGGTTTAAATCTCCAAAACCCTACACTGTAAAAAAAAAAAAAAAAAAACACTCAATTTACGGTTTTAAATCTGCAACTGGATTGGTTGTATAAAACCGTAAAATTGAGCAAAACAGTAAAATCCGCCTCCTCATCGATTTTTAAATACAACAAGTTTTGTCCGTAAAAATTACGAAGAAAATCCGTAATCAGACTGATTTTTTACCGTAGCAAAACAAGGTTTTATAAAAATTACAAATAAAAATAAATCTGTTGTCTCAACAGATTTATACAATATGCTAACAAGTTTTCTCTGTGATAGTTACTAAGTAAATCTCTACTCACACCAGTTCTGAATATTTTATGTTGGCAGATTTTTTGTTGACCAGTCATTGCTGAGACTTCAATTTCGGTCGAGAAACGCGCGCTCTCGTCATCTAAACCGCGTCGACACATATATTTTAATATGAAGAAATAGTGCTAGTCAGAAATTCGCTTCAATATTATATCAATTTGACAAAAAAGACGAATAGCAGTTTTATTTATACGATGTTATTAAACCATAAATGATAGATAAAAAGTAAGAGCAAGCATAGATAATAGGCGTAAAATTATTGGAGAATAGGTACATTACAGAAAGCAAAACTGCAGGGCAAAAACCAGAATTTTAATTGACGGTTTAAATCTGTTTTATACCAGGGTGAAAAGCGGAGGAAAACCGTTTTGTCAACAAAGCAGTTGTAAGCTTTAAATATACTGAGAAATACCGTAAAATCAATGTGTATTTCTTATGATGCGTACGCATTCAAATTCTTTACCTTTTTTTTTTCTTTTGACGAGAATCTATATATTTTTAGGGGGGAAAAGTAAACGGTATGCTTGCACAAATGGAGAGAGGGATGACCAAATTCTGCGTTTGACTTCGTAACCTCAGGTGATTTGTATGAATCTCAGAACTACTAACATAGGTCTTTCGATTCGTGGTACTATTTATTCAAGTATATAATATATATATATAAAAACTGATTAGATTAAGGCTTATTCATTTTGATTTGGCTTTTTCTTATTTCTTACCATATTAAATAATTAAAGTGAATAGCAAAGCGACATAATTTTACAATAAAATTTACATCTTCATACATAAACATAGCAAATGAATAGTATTTTTACAGTAAAATTCAGACATAACTGAATAATTTTATTTAAAAAAATGTCTTATCTAATGTAATTTTATTTTTAAGTTTATCATTGCTATTCAATCAGAAATTAAAAAGGTCGTAACGACACTTTTATCGATAATTTTTATGATGCATTTGTTGTTTTTTCTTTAGTATCCTTCTCATCAGATTACTGGGTTTTGGATACCAACTATGATGAGTATACTGTGGTATACAGTTGTTTTAACATGCTGAAAGGTTATGAAACTGGTACTGGTATTTTTATTCGATTATGTATTTTATTTCAACATTTATGTGTCTGTGATTTTTCTGAAAAATAAAATAAAATAACAATTTTGGAAACTATGTTTCTCAAGTGGACTAAAAGGGTGAAAATAATTATATTTATGACCAGGGCCATTCTGAGTCAAAACACTTATGAAAATTTCGGGTCCCCTTGAAGTTTTGAAGCTTTTGGATCCTTAAATACTTCAATGAAATATGTTTTTATTTCCATATGTCGCTTTAATAAGAAAGTACAATTTTTGTGTTTTTGACATTTACGCTTTTTACCAATGTCTTATTTATCATTTCGTTTTTTTACACATGTTTTTAATCATTATGAAGGACAATATTTGGCTTTGGTTCTGCCCAAAAAACAGGAATAGAGTACGATTTTTTGTTAATATTTCAATAAGATAAGAAAAACATCTAAATTTTGAAATTTAGTAACTCCGTTTCTGGTTGTAATATTTTTTCAGCTACAGGAACTCAGAATTATGAATTTAGTCATTTGAAATTTTGTAAACAGATTTGTAACAATATATCTCTAAATTATTCATGTTTTCGTATAATTTTCTACAATTCGAAACTTTTATCAAACGTATCTAGATAGGAATCTTTTAGAATTGCAAAAATATTATTTTAAACTTATTACAATAAGTGAATAATACATATTACTGAATAACAAAAGCATTTTACTTTTTAACAAGCACATTAAAATATCATATGTTTTCATATTTTTTTGTAAATTCATCGATCTCGAAATTAATTCTATTCGATGAAATTTATTCTTTAGATTAGGGTAAAAGATAATTTCCCAAGAAAAGTTATTTGTTCATTTTTTATCGATGTGTGCATTTTTTTCATCGTTTATTACTATCGTAATAGAATTATCAAATTTTTTAGCTTGAAAGGTTACAAAATTTTATATATCATGATAATTTAAATTTCCATTTAGATTCAAATCTAATTATTTAAATAAATAGATGGAATCATTTCTGTTGAATAAAATTCTGTTGAAAAATCATTCTATCATGAAAATAATGTCAGATTTTTAACTATTATATCCCAGGAACAATTTTTCGTGCATTCATATAGGAATTCTCTTTATGTTCTTCCGATTAATTTCGCCTCGGACATATCCATTGTTAAGTAACTCTGGAAAAAAAATTATATCGACTGGGAAACGTAAACAACGTAAAAGGACATAGAAAATTTTTCTTACCGAACTGTGCTGTCTTAGTTTAATCTTTCCTTAGAGTTCAGCTATAAACACAGTGCTTATGATTGTAATTATTTTAAAAATTATATTTAACTATATAATTATAGTTAATCAAACAGTTCTAAAAAAAATAGTATATGATCAAACTAATACTATAAGAATACGAGTATATAAAAACAAGAGAGTGATCGATGTAATTTTTTAGTGCAGAAGTTTAATTTTTAGAAGATTTCTGTTTTTAGAAGATTATGTTATACTGCGCGAGGTTAGTGAAAGTTAGTGGCGAATATATTAAGCTTTAAAATTTAAATTTATCTAACGACTAATTGTGGTTGAGTGCTCCTAAAATAATGAAAGCTCGCAGATTTTTTAACATAGACCCTTTTTATTTTCATTTTTACTGGTATATACTTACCGATAATACTGATTGCATTATCTCGATTTCTTTTTCTTTCATTTTGCCGTGTAAACACTACTGAACTCCCTCTTTATAATTAAATGACTTATTTTTTTAATTCTTTTGTTACTTTCATTTACTTTAATACAAAAAACTTATAAAGAAAAGTTATTTCTGTGCTGAAAAGAAAATAATGCAAAGGGCACAAGTGAAAACGATTAAGATACACAGCTTTTTCAATACTATAAACAAGTGTCATTGCAAATGAAACAACTCTGAAATTCTTTAAAAAATCAAATAGGTTTTTAGGAATCTTTGTATAAATTAACTCTTATTTACTTATTTTATTTGCAGAATTCGTCTGGATTATGTCTCGATCAACAACTTTAAGTGAAGCCACAAAGGACAAAGCTTACAAGCTGCTAAAAGCCTATAACATCGATACTGAAAACCTAAGAACAACTGATCAAGACTGTTGAAAATTCTTCTGTGTTTAATGTAAATAAAGAAGAAAATTTCTTTTGGAATATTTTTCTTTTTAACGCAACTTCTATGCATGTTTACCTCAGATAAAATGCGAGATATTTAAATACAGTTTTGTCGTAGAACATCTTAACCGATGAATTGGATATCGGCAAATGGCATCGTAGGGTAAGCCAACCAGATTCGACATACACGCGTGTCGTCACTTACAGGCTACAGGTATCCAATTAAATCTGATTTAAATCACATGGTTTAGCATAATCACTTCACTTCTTCTCGAGTTTCAAGTACCCAATTGCCATTTTTGAATAAGAATCAAAGGCTGTACAAGCTTATTGTATTTTATTAAATTAATAAATAAAGAAAGTTAGGTTTATTTAAGAAATTTATAATAAAAATAATATCCGATCAGCCAATATTTGATGTTTTACTCTATTCACGATATGAAAAAGAGTTCTCTCACTTTAAATTTATCGATATGTTTTGCAGTATCAATATAAGAAATATTATAATGATATAATTTAGGTTAGTTACGTAATATAATTTAAGTGCCAAACTTTTTTCAAAGAGTTCGTGCATCATATGATGAAAGTAATGCGCGATTTAGAAATGAAATGAAGTTAGCAGGGTAATATTAAATAGGCAGTATTTCCTCGCCAAAAATTGCAATGGTTTTTTCACCATGCCCAAATTGAAAAAAAGTTAAAAAGCTCACAACACACATAAAATAAGTAGGTGCCAATAAAGCGAAAATCTCGTAAGTACAACATTAGTAAAATGTGTTTTAAAATGGTTGCAGTATATGAAAGGATTAAATGCGCCTTACCATTGCTAAAAGTAGCCAGTTTACTGACTTCAAAGACCAAATGAAATTCTTATAAACAATGTCATACTTCTGGCAATTTTTATTTTGTTCTTAGACATTATTACATTGAAAATATTGTCTTTGTGTTATTTCAAACAAAAAAAGGTTATGCCAATTTTCATTCCACAGTATGCAGGCTTCTAAAAAATTGAAGCCACTTCTTTGAAATTTTAGAATTTTGCAGTCGTTTGAATATGTCAATTGTCTCCTCTCTTAGAGGAAGCAATTTTCTCTTCTGTTGTTTAATTCAGAGGCCTGCCAAAGCGAAAAAACTCATTATTAAAAAATCTCCCTTGATTTCACCCCCCTTGTAAACAATTTAAATTAATTTTTTTTTCTTAAGATAGTTTTGTTTTACCCGTTAAAAAGCAGAAATTAAGAAAATTAATTTTGTTCAAATTCGACCAATTTTGTTCTAATACTAAAAAAATAAAGAGAAAAACGCGATAAAAAATGTCTTCTGTTTGATGATTTTTAAAACAATGTTATAGAATAACCTTATAATCATTATGTAAAATACGGGCTTGTTAAGAATGTAGAGTAATTTAGAGATAAAATAACACTAAATGCATTTTTAATGGAAAACTCAGTTTGGAAAACTAAATGCATTTCTTATGGAAAAGTCTGTTTGGCTACATTATTGACGATTGGCGATAATTTAGACGGCTAATTTCAGCGCCTAATTTAAATTAGGCAATAATTTTAGGGAATTGGTGATAATTTTGGTGACAAAATAATAGCTCTTGAAAATTCGAGCTTCGAAGCGATAAGATCAATATTTACGGAGTTAGGCGAGAAATGTCTGAGGTTTTAAAGTCTGTGATTTGTTGTGTACTAGCCGGTTGTTCAAGCAATTGAATGCTGAAAATCGCTGTGTTTTCTGGAAGATTCTTCTAATAAATTTTTGGAGTCTTAAGGACTGTTTTATTCATTTCAGATCGACACAAATCCCTGTGCTCAGTAAAAACATAAATTTCTTTTTTAAAAAGAAATGCTTTAAAGTAACAGGAATATGTAAAGTAGAAAACTGCGATAAAAAATATTTGTTTCAATAATTTTTTGAGAAATCGCATGTTGACAACAGAGTAAATATTATTCTTTTAAGTCTCATAAATATATGAAGAATTCGTACCTAACAATAAAGGAAACAAAGTAACGTATCAAAAAAGAAAAAAAAATGGAAATGATAAATGACAGTTCAGTATTCATGGATGTTTCCTCATTCTATAATTATCAGTGTGATTTTTGAAAAGATATTTTTTCAAGGTCAGCTGTTTAAACTTTCCTGATATGAATCAAAATAGAGTGTGGGGAAGGGGAGACATGAAAATTCATGTCATTAGATGGGAATTGTTTCATAACTGATCGATCGATCTTCGCTTTGACGCAGAAATAGAAAGAATGTTCTTTTTTCGTTTCCTATTCAGTCATTTTATTTTTGAGACTAGCTAACTCCAGTGATTTTTGAGCGATGTAAAATAATATCTCAAAAAAGTTTTAAAAGAAGATTTTAAACCTGCCATTTTACGATATTAACATAATAATATCATAAATAAATATAAAACATACTTTATAAATGTAAACAAAAAAGTATAACGAATTTAAATCTAAATACTGTTTGTCTGGTTATAGTTCTGAGAATAATGCAACTACCTTCAATTTTCAAAAGAAAAAATATTAAAAGATAACAGTATATAACCAGAAGAAATATTTCAAAAAACTACAAATACCCAGTAGAGGAGCTACATTTATGCATGAAAAAAGTAATGTAAAAAATTTTGCATTGTGTAATATAATAAAGTAGGTATTCTAATAATTCAATGAACTTACAATTTGGATTACCTGCTTATTAATTACGGCAGACGATATTTTAAGTTAGAAAATTAGACACACTAACGAGCTTTCTTTGCATAAATATACTTTTTCACAATTCTTGATGTATGAGGGTCCCAGACCCCTCAATTTTCATTTTTTCAAATTTTTTAAATGTTTACCTTTAAAGAAATATTTGATTAATTCCGTTAAAATTTTACCGATTTTCAAAGTTAAAAAAAGAAGTAAAAATTTACATATTTCAAAATTTAGAATGTTTTGAACATATTTATAAATAAATAAAATAATTTGAGATAAATGTTTTGAAAAATTACTTTGTTCATAGAACGTCTTTGGATAAGCAAGTTTTATAATTGTTTGGCGAAATAATTTGTTTATCTGAAACACTTTTTAAGTAATAGATAAATATGCGATGAAATAAACATTATAGGGTCCAAACTTTCGTCCGCACTTCAGCCTAAATTATTGCCACCATTATTTCCCAGATTGCAGTTACCCCCATGCTTTCAAATTAAAAATCCGAATCCATCTGAAAAAAAAGTTATGTTTATTCAAAGACAGTTTTTTCTTCTTCTTTTTTTTTTTGTCTTAGTTTGTAACTTAAAAAATCGTCAGCACAGACTCTCTTAAAATATCGTCAGGACTGACTCTGGAACAGTTAAGTTGCATCTTTAACACGCAATAATCTGATCAGTAGACCAAAAAATTTCTTGTAAGTGTTCTCTCTTTTGATTTTGTTCACAGTAAAATTTATTATGTTATGAACCGAAGTACGAACAAAAATTTTCGAATCGTTAAGTACGTAGAAAATGAGGGAAGTTTGTAATAAGACAAAAATGAAAAAAATTCCAATTGACAAAGATACGAGAATAAACCGAGTTTAAATTTCTTTTAATTTGANAAAAAAGCTAGCAGTGCAGAAACGTTTTTGGGTGCACGAAATGGTACTTACGTATTAACGCCACCGCAGCTACAGATTTGGCGGTTTTTAAGTGCCGCCAATCTACACCTAAAATTATTGCGACAAATCACGAAATAAAACACTCTATTTAAAATGTAAAAATTCAAAACACTTTATTTAAAATCAAAGTAGTCAATCGGATTTCGGTGGAAAATGGGCCGATATAGAGTTTTACATATATTCAAAACAGTCTTTTCTTTCACCAGATGTTGTCGCCATATGAACTCTGATAAATAAGATTCCAAATGATGTCTCGCTGTCCCCCTATGTCTTTTGTTCCTCCATTTAGCACTGCCCCTTATTCTCTCAACTGTTTGTGTATTATGAACTCCTGTATCAGGATTAATAAAATGTATACAAATACCTACTTGCTAATTATTTATGATAAACCTTAGCAATTTGTATTTATGATAAACCTTAGCAAAGTGGGAATCCTTCTATTATCTTTGTTTGATAACCTTTCCAACTGTCAGAATAAATTGTGCTACCATCTAACTCCCACTTGCTGATCACATTGTCTTAAATTACATTTCCAAAACGTACGTTTAACCAAAATAAAATTTCATGTCATGGAATTGATACATTTTCGTTTTCCTTTTGGGGGTAAAATATTTCGCTACTGAAAAAATAAAATTGCACCTTGTTCTGCTTTTGGAAAATCCCAAAGATGCATTTTCGTAGCACTAAAAATTGTGTCAGAAATCAGCAAACAAGGCAACAAGGAATCCAAAAGATAACTGCATGCGAAAACGCTGTGTGCGAACAGCAGGATTGCTCTTTATTGGCGCATTAGCACAACTTCTGCAACAACGTAAGTACCCACGAAATAAATGAGGCAAGATATCTTGAAGAAGATTTTTATGTGCTTTTCCATAAGCTGCAAAAGTCCCAAATAAATTTTTTAATTACGTCTGAATGAGAGAAACCAAGAACAAGAGTGATGTTTATAAGGAATAATTTTTATATGGCTTTTGAGTT